AAAAAAACTCCAACGGTGGTGTGGTATAAAGAAAGGTATTAAATGTGTGTTTCTGTATATATATATATATATATATATATATATATATATATATATATATATATATATATATATATATATATATATATATATATATATATATATATATATATATATATATATATATATATATATATATATATATATATACACGCCTTATTGAACAATTGGATGTGTTTGTGTGTGTTTGTTGTGTTTTACTTATTTTTAGAGCCATGGTATCTTCACTGCGAAAGATGGCAGAAGAATGCATCCCTATTGATAAATTGACGCTGGAGTCAAAGAATTGTGAGATTACAGCTCGGGTGTCGCGCGAATGGGATGTTTACAGCTTTAAGGATACAAAAGACCTAATGAGTACAGATATGGTGCTCATTGATAAGGAGGTAACTCACAATGTTAATTGTTATTGTGTCTGTGTTTTGTTAATTTAATTTCTTATTACTGTTGTGTGTATTAAGTCACATCTTATATGTTTTAGGGCTCATATATCCATGCGTCCATTAAGGGGAATTTTGCGCATTTGTTCCAAAACCGTATTGCTGAAGGAAGTGTTTACTATATTAAGATTTTCAGCGTTGTTCCCAATAAGGCCCAGTATCGTGTTGTTGGTGACAACAAGCTCATGATTCAGTTTTGTCCAAGTACAGTGGTTAGATCTCTTTCGGAAGACTCCCTGGGAATACCAACATCAGCAATACCCAAGCATCGGTTTGATTTACTTGATTTTGATAAGGTTGCGTCTAGAATGTGGGAACTATACATTTTAACTGGTGTGTTCAGCTCTTTTACAGCTTCTATGAATAGTGAATTTAGCATTGGATTTCACTTCTTATGTGTGGTACATATTACAGATGTGGTGGGCGTAGTATGTTGCGAGGGGGAGGTCACAAATAAGAATAGCCGTGGAAACATCGTTCCTTCTTTGATGCTTGAATTACATGATCTGAGGTTAATAGTTTTCAGTTTCTATGTATATGTGATTTTTAAGCTAATAATTGAACTATTTACCAAAAAAACTCTGAAATGGTTAGCTAATAAATGGGATTCTGAATTTCAGAGATGTAAAGGTCCGGCTTACACTATGGGGTGGGAGTGTTGATAACTACATGAAACAAAAATCATTGGTTCAGGATGGAATTATTATTGGTGTTTTCACGTCAACCTTGGTCAAGAAATACATGAGTAAGGGTTTTTTGTTTGGGCTTATAGATATGACGCCTATGCACTTGGTTGCTGCAGTTGAATTGATTTTTTTCATTGCAGACAATGCTGTTTTGTCATCAACCACAGCTACCAAGATTTATTTAGACCTTGACATTGATGAGGTTGTTGCCTTAAAAAACAAGAGCAGGTATTAAGGGTTTATATTTTCCAACCATCTCATATTACAAAGGATATTTCATAACGTTTACAAATGTGAATAACCGTTGCAGTTCTTCGCCAAGGGGGCATATAATTCAGCCGCTTATCATCGAGAAACAAGAGCTGGATACACATGCTGTTTTAAGCAATCTGAAAACCATTGGCGAGCTTTTAGAAATAACAAAGACAGACTTTAAAGATGTAATTAAATGCCATTAAGTCTGTCTCATTCCTTTGCATACATGAACTACTAATTTTGTGTCTGACTTGTGAAATCTTTAACTTACACATGTACAGGGCACACTAATATTTTGTGTTGCTACAATATATGACATCCACAACAATAATGGATGGTACTACAACTCATGTGGCTGCAAGGGAATGATTAAGGCGTACGGTCAAAGTTTTTGGTGCAAGAAGTGTAATAAGACAGTGAATGATGTCATTCCAAGGTAAAATTTATGCCTTTCTCATGATAGAATCAGCACATGCTAGCACTGTGAATCAGATGATACACACAGCCTGACTTCAAATCCCAAACTCAATAATGCATCTGACGTAGTAATGAAAGCAATCTCTTTACGAATGAACTAAAAAATAGTGGGCATTTGCAGATTTTGAATTGAGTTTGGAGTCAAAGATGCCACAGATTGTACGAAGTTCATTGTGTTTGATGACGTCGCTGAAATGTCAATAGGCTGTGTTGCTAAAAAGAACACCATATTTGCTATTAATATTCTTTTTTAACTTTAAACACTGATTACTTCATGCTAATCACACTAAGAGTAAGAAAATACAAGTCCAACACAACAAAACGCCATCACTACTGAATGAAGCAAACGTGTATGATAATCAAGTCATGAGGTACATGGCCAACTTCCCGTTTTATAGCCACAACTAATACATGACATGAAACTTAATCCCGCCTATTTCACTTTTTACAATTTAATCATACATAGGTAAATAGATAGACACATCTAATGCCGTTGTTTATATCATTCTATTATATTCCTTTCAATAAAATACATAGGTACATACATTGATACATCTCTCCACAATGCTGCTCTTTGACTGCATGATTTTATTCTATTACTTTGGAATTTATCACCTACTCTATATTATCTCACTATATTATGATATTTGTTTTACTTTACAGTTTCTCCAGAAACTCGTGACAAGAGACAGGGGATTTTTACGGGTTCATGATTCAAATGACATGCTAAGTTAATCTCATCTCTTATGGTCTCTTTTTAATTTTATTAATTGTCTCTATTTCCAGATGCTATTTGTTAAACTTAAAAAACCAATTACAAAGCAAGAACAACTTTACTGTTAGACGGTGTATATATTTATCATAATCCTTTTCAGGCCCACATGTGTAATGTGAATAACATCTCAAAATACTTTACGCACCCATTTTCACAACCTTATGATTCTGTTTTTTTTTATTAATGTAGGTTTTATATGTCTCTGCTCTATTACAAAAGCACCTGCTCGAACACGATTCAAGTATCGACAACTATGCTAATGGAGATGAAACTCACTGCATATGGAGATTTATTTATCCAATACATCCGTGCTTTCTTTAATGCCCAATTGGGCAGGGCAAGTTTTACTAATAATACATCAAGTTTATAAACTACAAAAACGGATTTAGTTCTACTTTGTTCTTTACCTTATGTTCTTTTTTACGGAGTAATACAACCAAGCCTGTAACGACTGTTTGTCATAGTACAGTGTTTGACTTATTCATCACGAAAAACTATTGTTCGTATTCGCCTCAACCCGGACTTGGTCTAACCTCTTAAGAGTAACAATCCTATTTTTAGACGTCCTTTAATTTACTCCTATTATATTTTTTGACATTTTAATGGCATTTTTAGGAACTTTACTATTCTTTATTTTTATTAAAACACAACCAAAAACGTGATAATTGAAACCCACGGAGCATACTAAGCGTAATAGGTTGTGAATATTATTACGAATCTAGATTGTGTGTAAATCATTTATAATTCCTCATTATTGAATTATGATTCCAAAGGAAATTCTACAACCCATACAAAATTCCTCCCCCAATACACCCAATAACTAATCTCCATACAACAAACACGTGGATAAATCCCCAGCCCGTGCGAAGCACGGGGTAGACAACTAGTTAATAATAAAGCAAATGTTTTTGATAAATATGGACGGGCCTGTTGGTTTGGATGTGCTAAAAATAACTTCCAGATCTTTCAAATACAATTCGGACTCAGATTGGTTCGATCATTTGTACGTTAAAGATTGTCCATATCCATCCTTTTTAAAAGGCAGACGGCCAACCCTTGTTTGGAAGGGTCTAATTTCAAATTTTCCATCGTAAATAATTATCATAGTATTGGACTTTAGATTTGGACTTGCATTGTTTTCACGTCACTTTGCTTAATTTTGGGCCTGTGATTTTTTCACTGCAGGCTCAGGGATGTTTGACGTTTTAATGCTTTTTATTTTTAGAAAAAATTATCTAAAATAATACCAATTTTATTCAATTTTTCAAAAATAATCTCACTTTTTAGTGTGATGCATAATAATCCAAACTTTACTGAATTTTCCGAGTTTTTGGTCGCCGTTAAGTTTCTAATGGAGGATTAACGGAAATGCCTGTTTTAGGCAACAAAATGAGAGTTGGGATTATTTTTGATGAATTTTCATTTTTTTTATTTTTTATTTTTTGAATTTTTCAGTTAAATTTTTAAAAAGGAGCGTGACATTTGGCGGAGCTAAGGTATGACATGTGGCAGAGCTGATGTGTCATCTTTTTAGACAAAAAATGTGATGTGGCATTGTGAGGTGGCAGGAAAGAATTAAAGGCCACCAATTTCCTTTTAACTCTCTAAACAAATTAGCGGAGAAATCAGCTGAGCTTTCCTTCGCCGTTCAGGTAACTTTCCTTCCCCATCTTCTTTCCTTTGTGATCTTCTTTTTCCTTTCAATAAAATACCAAAATTGAGATTCAAAAATACCATAATCAGTTGAAATCTATAAGTATTCAACCAATCCTCTCTTTTGATTGAGATCCAAAACATAAAAATTGAGGTTCGAATTTGAGATGCTCTTCTTCACCGAAAGAAATAAATAAATGGAAATAATTCACCGTAAGTAGCCTCTGACTTTGCCAACACGCCGGAGAATCCTGTGGCTGGCAAGGATCTCACGCATCTTCTTAATCTCTGTATCAGGTATGTGCATGTGAATGAGTTGGCCAGATTAATTACAAGCACATTAATGGCTTTTAGGATATGCAAATCAGGTGAGTGAAATTTCTTAATTATTGTTTCCATGGCATTGATTGAGATTTTCTCTTAAGAGTTATGGATTCAGGCTACTTACAATTCAATTTCTTTTGATTGAATAGATTTTATTGAAATATAAGTGAGTGAGAAAGGTTTTGGCATACGGAATTGATTTTGTGTAATCATGAACACTATATACATACAGAGCAAAGCCCTTAGAGCTTGGACCATGAATTGGGGTACTGTGTGGGGTTTGATATTGTTTGGTACAATCTGAAGAACAATCAAGAGCTCATCACTACTGATATGGTATTGATTGATGAGAAGATAATAGTTTGGGAAAATTGGGTTTTGAATTTAGTGTTTAATTATTTGTTTGTTGGTGGTGTTTAGTTTGAATCTGCTGACTTATTGTTTGTTTGTTGTTATTGAGTGTGAATAAGTTGTTTTTTGATCTTAATTATATCCATTCCAACATCAAAGCTAATTTCACCTATTTGTTTGAAGGTGTATTTATTTGAAGGTGTCTATTATATTAAAAATTTTGGGGCGGTTGATAAAAAAGTTGGTACCGTTTCATATGAAACAAAAAAATGATACTCCAATTTTATGCGAACTCATTTGCTAGATCAGAGTTCTTGATGAGGGGTGTCAAAAAATCAGCATGCACCATTTGGATTTCCTTGAGTATTGCAGAAGACTATATCGTGATAGGCTTTATAAATGTGAAGTATATATTTATAATGGTCTTATTGGTTCCATCCAACTAGAATTTTTAATATAGTCTTTTAATATGTACGTGAATTTTATATTTTAATTATGCTCTAATTGTCTAACAAATTACTTTGAAAAAAAACTATAATAAAATATCGTAAACTGAAACAGTTAATTTAAATTAAGACGAAAGAAAGTATTTAACAATATGATAGATACTTGGGTGCGTTTAAACCATTATGAGTGGTGTTTTGGATGGAGAGAGAGCTGAGTGATTTATTCAAATATTTAAACATCATCCAACTTGAAAAATGGTCCTACCCACCTTTCTAAAACCAAACAATCTAAAGTTATGTTCTTCACACTTTTTGTCTTTTTTCCTTTTTATTTTTTTTTTTAAATTTCAATGTCTTCAACTGGCCGGATAGTAATTAGTAAATGGTAATGAGATAATCGAACATTTCTTTGCTTTCATATTTGATTTTCAAACATAAATTCATATAAATTTTTAAATATTTAATTCAATATAAATTCTTTTAATTTTTTGTTCATCTTAATTTTTTTTTTGAACAATTTGTTCATCTTATATGTTTTGATAAAAAAAGAATATTATTTTATAATATACTCCGTAACACGGAGTATGCATTATTTAAAATAATAAATAAAATATGGATGATATAGATTAAGTGTCTGTTTGGGAATAACGTCAGATATTAGCGTCAACGTTTTGAAAAAAAACTATCTATGAACGATGTTTAGTGTTAGCGTTTTCAAAGTCAATCTACCCCGTTAATATTTTATATAAAACGCTAACGTTAAAAATGAAAATGTTATTTCCAAACAAGCCATATGGAGATGATATGAATGAGAGGAAATGATTGAATGAATAAGTTTGAAAGTAAGGGATGTAAACGCTCTAATGAACACCTGGTTTCTTATCAAAGATGAAGAAAAAAACAAATCACATTTTTTTGTGATCAAATGTTATTAAAAATTGTTGCTAGACATTTTGAAAAAAAAATACTCCCTCCGTCCCATAAAGTGTTACCCATTTTGACTAAAGTTGAAATTAAGGGATGGATAATTTTGTGTTGATTTTCCAAAAATACCCTTGATGTGATGGGTAAAAGTAGGATGTTATGTGTAGATTATTAGGAAAAAGGTATGATGTGATAGGTAGGGTTTGAAAAAGTAAGGGGTAAAAGTGGTTTTTTAATAGAAATGAGTAAGGGATTGTGGGACACAATTTTTTTGAAACATGTAAATCTTTTTGGGACGGAGGGAGTATTTGCATTAAATAGCAGTAAAACTTAAATTATTTTCCTAATTAGCACTTAAATTATTTTATTCTTTAAATAGCATGCATTTAATAATGTCTAGTGATGGTAAATATTTATTACTTGAATAATGACTAATGGATAATGACTAAAAATGCTACATTGAGAAAAAAAATACATGTGATGCTATTTAGGCAAAGTCATTATGTTTTAGGGGCTGTTTGTTTCAGTCTCTTAATGGTTCAGATGTCTGAATGATTCAGCACTTAATGGTTCAAACTGTTTGTTTCAGCCTCTTAATGGTTCAGATGTCTGAATGGTTAAGAGATTTGCCTCTGAATGGTTAAGTATTATACAGAGTCTGAATGGTTAAGAGCTCTTATCTGAATTGATCAGACATTTGCCTCTGAATAGTTAAGCAATATACTAGCTCTTAATGGTTCATCATACCTCTTACTGGTTCAGCACTTAATGGTTCAGACCTCTTACTGGTTCAGCACTTACCCATTCAGAAGTTGCCAAACAGCCCCTTAGTGTTATTTACGTAAATTCCCCTTGAAAAAAACATATATACAATCTAATCACTGTTTTTTTGTTTGGCCTTTTTTAGTCAAATTAGACAACGTGTATTTTTTAATTAAATATAAAATACATATTAGTTTAAAAATGAGTTGCCAAAAGAACGCGAGTGTAAGAACAGGAAATGATTTGAGTCAAACTAGACAAAGTGTAAAAACCTAAGTATGCCAAAAGACGCAAGTGTTCACGCGAGTTTTCTTTCGGTTTTTGGGTCGATTTTGACACTTATCCATGCGATCGAATTTTTAGGGTTTCAGACTCCATTCACCAAAAATCTGAAGGATTTTCATAAAACAATAACGTCTAGAATAAAAAATTTCCAAGCTATCCCGGCCAGGGGCTGTCGCCCCTTGGACCTGGCTACTGGGGGGTTGCCGCCCCCAAAACCCCGCTATGAATTTGTAACATCGTTGAACGAGTGCGCAATCGGCATCTCCTAATTCGTTAGACAACGTCTGCTTAAATTATTGCCTGATCTAAGTAAAGCCAATCACATAAAAATAACCGATGATACTAAAATCACCCGTACAAACAACTATTTGCAAGCATCTAATATAATAGATCAAATCAGCAAAGTTAAACAATCATCCAAAACAAAATACCCAAATAGCCAACAACCATCACAGCCAACTTTCCAACAAGGCATTAGCTAGGAATCTAGGATGCGTGCGTACACAAACAGTTAACAAGTGCAAATGAAATGAAATTAAATAGGACCTCTCCTAAACGCTGCTTCCATATACATAAACATGATCACAGTGAAAAACGCTTGTAAACACCAAGCAAGAAGAGCAAAGAGAAGAGAAACTGGGACCATTGTTGTAAACGACACACTAGCTTCCTCCCACATTGGTGTTCCCCGGAGCCAGGACGCCGCCGCCGCCGCCGCGCACAGAGTTCCCAGTGAAAACCAGCTTGTGCACTGCACCCATATCCAATTCCATAACATATACCCCATATTTTGGGTTGGAGTATAAAATATGATGGATTTACGTAAATAACACTAAAATTTAATGACTTTCGCTAAATAGTATCACATGTGTATTTTTTTCCAATGTAGCACTTTTAGTCATTATTCAAGAAATATTCGTCATCACTGGACATTATAGACATTATTAAGTGCTATTTAAGGAATACAACAGTTTATGTACCCCGGAGTATTATTTAAGAAAATGATTTAAGTTTTAGTTCTATTTAGAGCAAATATTTCATAAAATATTTCTATGGACGTAGATATATATATATATATATATATATATATATATATATACGTCGTACCCAGTCGAGCAGACAGGTGACGGTGAGACGGAAGGGGGAAGGCGGGCGTTGTGGTCCCCCGAACGCCGCCGTCTTAAAATCGATGCACGCGACGATGACGCTCCAGACAAGTTGAACGCCTTGCGACTTTAGCAAGTAGCTACACAAAGCAAATTGAAGAAACACCACATGCAATTCAAGTGAAATTATTTACGATAATTAAGAGAGAAAAATTAAGAGAGATGTAGTTAGATAGATAGATACCGGAAGGCGGTAACCCGGGCGAAATTGGGAGCTATGAACATTGAAAGAAACGAAAGGAGGGAAAGGAGAGCTTGAGTGAACCGGAGAGCTACTCCGCTTATCTGTCCTGGCCCTCCCAACACCATTTTTTTATAAATTAATTATGACTTGCCGTGAGTGAATTTTTAATGAAGAAGAACAAGGAGGATAAATCTTATCTTAGCTTAGCTTAGCTCAGACAAAGTATACATACACATGGTGCAGTGGTCATACTTTAATTAAAGTGGAGGAGGAGCTGAGGATATATGCCATCCAGCCGGAGATGCTTTTGTTTCCCGTTAGAGACCAAACATCATCTTCGAAGGTACAATGGCTGGTCTTTGCCAAGAAGAGGAAAACCCCAAGTGGAAGCCTCAATCCCACTTTCATTGGCTAGCTAGCTCTTTATCCTTCGCTTGTGTACCTAAAGAACAAAAAAAAAAAAAAAAAAAAAGGGATGAGCGGCATATACTACCTCCTCCGTCCCGCTATATTCGTCCACTTTTAACTTTTGGAACAGTTCATCTAAGCACTTTGACTCATCAAATTCTCTTAATGTGTAAACCTAAATATAGTCATGTGTGATCTTGTTTGATTTGTCTTAACATATAAATTATTAATATATAATTTCTATAATTTTTTAATATACAAATTACAAGATAAAATGGATTAAAGAAGTGTATTGGATGGTGTGTAAAAATGAAAGTGGACAAATACTCTGGGACGGAGGGAGTATTTAATTTCTTTGCTTAAGTATATATATTGTGGTCTTTGTTGGAATCTTTTTGGTGGACGGAGGTTAGGTTAGATTTGATCATATATTTACCTAATTTCCTTGATTCACTTCCTACCTAAAAGCTTAAGTTAATGGACAGTGTTTTACGCCTTTTCCTCTCTTGTTCCCGCTACAATTTTATAAATTTAAAAACAAATTAAGATTTACTGTCCTAAATTATTTGTCTAATTTTGATTTTTTATAATTAAAATTGATAAACTTTAATTTCTCGCTCATAAAATTTAGATTAATTAATATTCTTTCCATTTGACTTTTCATAAGCTTCATAAATTTAAACTATTAATATTATAGTCCGGCAAGGTTCCGTTGACCCTGTCATCCAATGTCAACGGATGACACTCGCCTATTTAATTTCAAGCACATATGGTGCTCTAAATGAAAAATTGATAGTTCCTAACCCCTAACCCACGCCCTAACCCCCCATCATACCCCACCCTAGTCCCACCCCGACACTCCCACCCTTGCCCCCCTTTTACCCCCTCCAAATGTATGGCTATTATACAATTCGTGATTAAAATTCAAAAAAATTGACATAGAAAGTCAAAGTAGGAATAAATTTTTTGGACGGAGGGAGTATTAATAAAATAAAGTTCACACTGTATTAGATATTGATCTATAAAAATAATTTTATATGAAGTGCTTATGATTTATCTTGTAATTAAAATATATTTATTCTTTAATCTAAATAATGTACGATATAATTTTATTTAAATGAAGGTTAAAGATTCAATTGGCAAAAAATCAAAACAGAATAAATACTCTTAGAGAGATGGGAGGAACTATTCTCTTTATATAAATATTGATACGTGTGTATTCATCCAATTTTATGAAATGTAAAAATACTATAGACTTTGTAGGGTCAAAATTATTTAAAGTTTGACATGAACTGTTTTTAAATATAATTTTAAAATATCACATGTTTTATAATGTATAAATATAGATATTAATTTTCAACTTGTCAAACTGGAAAACTTCAACCAAAAAAACTGGAAAACTAGAAAAGTCAAATGAAATTTTTTTGGGACAGATGAAATATAAAATTACTCTCTTTTTACTATATCATCAAAGTAGCAGTAAGAGGAGAGGCATAGTTTTTTCTCTCTCTTCTCTCCAATGGCGAAGAAGAAGGGAAGACCTAAGAAAAATCACGATTCCCCAGAAGTATCACTGAAATCGACGACTGGAAAGGAAATCTCACCGTCTCAGTCAAGTGGAATTTCCGGGAAAGCTGGAAGCGCCATGAATACACCAAGCGGAAACGATCCAAAACAGGGACTGGAAACTAGATCACCAGAATATGAATCTGGCCAGGAAATTCTGGTGAACCAAGAGGATAAAGAAGATGATAACAATATAGTCCAGAAAGTGCCAACTTACGCTGAAGTGTTGAGATCTGATGAGGTACAAGTAGATCTATCGTTCTTTCAATATGATGAAATAAATGGACAGAGGGTAGCTAGAATCACAGAAGAAGATATTATTGTTAGTAAAGGCATGTGGGATTGTGCTATTATCTGTTGTGTGCTTGGTGCAAACCCTCCGCTGGAGGTTATGAAAGGATTTGTCACACGTATTTGGAAGGATTTTGAGGTGGATGATATTAGCTTCCATAAGGAAGGACAATTTATTGTGCATTTTAAGAGCTCGGAGAAAAGGGATGAAGTAGCGAAGAGAAAATATTACTATTTCGACAATAAACCAATGATGGTGCAGAAATGGCACCTTGGGACTCAACTGAATCTAATGGAGCTGAATGATGTTCCAATCTGGGTCTAATTCCCTGGATTGGATGTTAAATATTGGAGCCTCTCAGGTTTGGGGAAATTGGGAAGTATCCTAGGCAAGCCTATTAAAAGGGATAAAGCCACAGCTACAAGGACCAAATTGGACTATGCTAGGATACAAATTGAAGTTCAGGTGCATCAAGACTTCCCAGATACTATCAAATTTGTGGACAATGGGGGAAGAGTGATTGAACAGCCTGTATCTTATGATTGGAAGCCATCAATATGCTCAAAATGTGGTAAACTGGGTCATGTTGGAGAGCATTGTAGGAAGAAAGAGGGCAGACTGGAGAGAGTGATACAAAAGAAGATATGGAGGCCAAAGATCATAGTGAATGATAACATTGTTGACAGAACTATTGAAAATACCCCAAGGCAGGAACCAATGGCTGAGGATAATACACCAGCCAATGCAAGAGACAAGGATGAGGATAGAGAAGAGGAGGCAGGATTCAAACTGGTCACTGGAAAGAAGGCAGCAAGAAGGTTAACCATAGAAGATTTGAGAAACCAAGAACAGCCATTAAGGGAATCCCCTTATGGTCACTACCCATTTCTTCAATGATAGTATGTTGGAATGTGAGAGGGCTCAACAGCCATAACAAACAATGGGAAGTTAGAAATATAGCTGATAAATATAAAGCTAACATTATGGGAATTCTGGAAACCAAAGTAAAAATTAATAGGGAGGCAGAAGTGAAGGAAAAGTTGTTCAAAAACTGGAGCTACTACACAAATGTGGATCAACACCCACTTGGAAGGATATGGATAATGTGGAATAATAAAAAGGTTGTTGTGCATATCATGGGCAGCTCTGCACAGGCAATTCATGTCAAAATTAGGGGAATTGATAAAGCTAGCTATGACTATATTACTTTTATATATGCTTTCAATGATATGGGGGGGAGGAAGCAACTGTGGGAGGAATTAAAAAATTATGCTACAAGTATGGATAGTCCATGGTGCTGCATTGGAGACTTTAACTGTGTCCTGAATACTGAAGATAGGAAGGGAGGCAGTCCCATTATTGAGGAGGATATAAGGGACTTCAAAGCTTGTGTAACTGAGTGTGACCTAGAAGAACTCCCAAGTGAAGGACCTTTCTTCACTTGGTCTAATAGACAAAATGAAGAACATCGGATTTATTCAAAACTGGACAGGGCTCTAGTCAACATTGAATGTGCAAGTACTTATAACTGCAAGATTAAGGTACTGGGGGAAGGAGTTTCTGATCATTCACCATTGATAATTAAAGATCTGGATAACCAAGCTACTGGCAAGGCTTTCAGGTTTTGCAATATGTGGATGGAGGACAAAGAATTCCCAATTATTTTACAAGAAGGGTGGCTGGAAAGCAATAACCAGAGGAATATGTACCAAGTGCTGCAAAATCTAAAAAGGATTAAGGGACCCCTTAAAAGACTTCATAAGGAGAAATATTGGGAGATTCATAAAAAAGTGGATGATAAAAGGGAACAGCTGCTGAAGCTCCAAGAGGCTATTAAAACACACACCAATCAGACACTTATTAACAAGGAGAGGGAGCTAACCAGACAGTTGAATGAGACTATCAAGGCATCTTACCTACTCAAATGCCAACAAAGTAAACAGAGTTGGATTACTGAGGGGGATAAAAACTCTAAGTTATTTTATGCTTGGGTGAAGAGAAGACAACTAAACAATTATATTATGAGTATTCAAGATAATGGGGTAGAAGTGGAAGGCACAAATGCAATTGCAAAGGTGCTGGAGAGTTTCTATAAAAGAAATCTGGGAGCAACTGTCCCTACTGGAGATATTGAGTGGAAGATCTTTGATGAAGGCAAGGTACTCACAGTGAAACAACAACTAAAGCTAATTGAGGATTTTCAACCAGAACATGTGAGGAAAGCCATGTTCTCTATTCCCAGCTCTAAAAGCCCTGGACCTGATGGTTTTAATAGTGGGTTTTATAAAAGGAATTGGAATAAAGTGGGGAATCTTGTCACTAAAGCTGTAATGGACTTTTTCAGAGAAGGAACCACCCTCAAGCAGATCAACATCACTGGCTTAACCTTGATCCCAAAGCTACCAAATCCTACCAGGCTAGAGGACTTTAGGCCTATATCTTGTTGTAATACCATTTACAAAGTAATCTCAAAGATGATATGTATGAGATTAAAAGCTGTCCTGCCACATATTGTTAATTTGAATCAATCTGCCTTTTGGAGAACAGGGAGCTTCTGCACAATGTTTTGCTATGCCAAGAGATAGCTAAGGGTTATAAAAGAAAAGGAATCTCCCCGAGATGCATGATGAAGTTGGATATTCAAAAAGCATACGACTCAGTTAGTTGGAAGTCCATTAAGGGAATAATGCAGGATTTGAAATTTCCTGATAAATTTATCAAATGGATTGAGTTTTGTGTTACAACACCATCATATACCATTAATTTTAATGGAGCATCACATGGTTTCTTTAGAGGAGGAAGAGGATTAAGGCCGGGGGATCCAATATCACCCTTGCTGTTTGTTTTAGTAATGGAATATCTTACAAGAAGTCTGTATTTGGCAGCCCAAGAAATGACTTTCCATTTTCATCCGTTATGCTCTAGTTTGAAGATTATTAACCTTACTTTTGCTGATGACCTAATTGTGGTATGTAGAGCTGATGCCCCATCTATTGGATGTATTCTAAATGTTCTGGAAAATTTCCATTACACTACAGGACTGAAGATCAACAGAAGCAAATCAGAGGTTATTTTTGGGGGGAGTGAACCAAGAAGAAGAAAGAAGATTGTTATCCATGTTGAATATGAAACTAGGTAAGTTCCCCCTAACTTACCTAGGATCACCCATTACAACTGCCAGACTAAGAGCTCATGAATGTGAGGCACTTATTAATAAACTGACTATCAGAATCTCTGCTTGGGGGTCTAGACATTTTTCCTATTCTGCTAGAGTTAGACTTATTAATTCTGTGCTTATGGGAATTATCACCTTTTGGGCAAGAATCTTTATACTGCCTAAAGGTGTCATCAAGAAGGTTATGGCTATTTGTAGGAACTTTCTGTGGGGTGGGACTGCTGAATATCACAAGGTACCTCTGGTGCAGTGGGATGAGGTATGCCAGCTGAAGAAATACGGAGGGTTGGGGATAAGGAACATCATGAACTGGAACCTAGCTGCTATAATGAAACTTAATTGGGATGTTGCTGGGAAAAAAGATATTCTTTGGGTTAAATGGATCCATACGAGATACATTAAGAATGGTGATTTCTGGACGTACCATCCTAAGCTAGACTCCTGCTACTACTGGAGAGAGATGCTTAGGGTGAGGAACAAATTCAAGGATATGCCACACCCTAAGCCCTATGAGATTAGGGAAGGATATAACTGGCTACAAGGGAAGAGGGAGAAACCTGTTTGGAGGCATTGGGTCTGGAACAAATTCACCCCTCCAAAATTCAGATTCATTATTTGGTTGTTATGGAGAAGGAAACTACAAACTAAAATGAGGCTGGCTAAATTCTTAAACATAGACACTAAGTGTGAGTTATGTGGGAGAGAGACTGAGACACAGGATCATCTGGTTTGGAGTTGTGATAAGGCGAAAACAATAGGGCAGACCATAATGAAGGAATTCGGTTGCTCTCTGAACTGCAATTCTGAAGGAGAGTTTGCAATGGAAATGCAGAAAGTGAAGGGAGGGAAAATGAGGAAAATGGCTATTGCTATATGGGCAACTGCTGTTTACTTTACTTGGAAATGGAGGAATGACCTATGGCATAAGAAGGTTAGAAGCTTAGAAGAGATCCAGAATCAAGCTATTTATTACATTAGAAGTTACTTTAGTTATATAAGAATTATGTAATCAATATTGTAGTATTGGCAGAGACTTGTTTTGGGTGGCTGTGTTTGTATTTTGAAGCGTTAATGAAATCTTGTGATGTTTGTGCAAAAAAAAGTAGCAGTAAGAGTAATAATAATAATAAATAGTAATGATAACAATAACAATAAGAATAATGATTAATAATAATATTAATATTAATTTTTTGACCAAGTCTCAGATAAAAAAAGTCAATTCAGTTCTAGTTAAGTCCAAAACTTGTGTACTTTGTATTCGTACTTTCGTAGTGGAAGTCGTGTCTTGTAGGCTTGGCTTGAAATAATATTTCCTTTCTTCACATTTACACTATATTTTGTTTGTAAAATTCAGAAGGAAAAAATCTCACTTTTTTCACCAAAATAAACTTTTTGCTCCTCTAAAAAAATCTCACTTTTTTCATTTCAAATCTAAAATTTGAATTCTCAAATACAAGAGAAGACATGAATTTGTAATCGAATTTTTTTATAAATCAGAAGAATTTGACTCAAATCAAAATAAAAATATTTAAGATTCCCAAATATAGACTTTGAGCCAAATCCGAATTTGATATCCAAATTACTTGGGCTTAAGAAATTCGGCCTAAAATGGAACAAGGCCCGCTATCAAAAAAACAAGGCCCAGGGCATCCTGGTCATTTCTAGCTGGACCTCAGCTAGTCAGCCACGTCCTAATTGATGAGAATCTAAAACACACCAACAAATTAGTAGTAAAAAACCAAAACCAACCGAATCAGTTGAACAATATTTAGATTTTGAAAATAGTGACTAAAATAAGAGTGAAAACATATTTTACAGGACAATAATATTAAACAAATGGTTTTCAAGTCATTGCTTATATGCCCGTCAACCGTCGTGCTAAGTGAAAACGGAGTGTAAAAAATAGAGTGCTTCGGATCAAGAGTACACATTTCAAAATGTACAATGGTACTAACCTTGGAAAATACAAATAATAAATGGCATCTCTGAGACACAAAACTAAGATTATATTAGAGAAGAGAGCGAATAAAACAATAATAATTTTCGTAACATGGAAATATGAAATATGTCTCTATGTTGTTGTTGGTCCATCCAAGCAATTGGCCATGGGCGAGGAAGAGAGACGGTTTGGTTTGATTTCCCAAACCGTATAGATCTTCTCCAAATGTATTGTACTATACCAATCCGTCGATAAATTGCACTTTTTCTCTTTTAAGGATAAAATGTTTACAACTACACAATTTAGGAAAGTTGTGTCACTTGAGAGAGTAAACTGCATAACACTTACAAGGCATACAACATTCACTCACTTGGTGCAGACTTTAAGGTGATTTTTAGAACAAAAATCTTGTACGAAATTTATAATTTTTTAACAAATTGCTCACTCCGCCCAAAAAAAAAACACTATCTAGTTTGACTTTCGCGGTGTTTAAGAAAAGTGTAGCAAACTCATGAGTTTATTCCTTTAAAATGAAATAAAATAAAAGGGGAGTACTTTTTGGGATGTCCTAAAAGGGATAGTGAGGAGTGCCTTTTGGGACAGGGGAGTCTATGTGATTATCCCTTTAAAATATATGTATAAATAGGTCAAAATGTCAAATCCTAACAAGGAAATTTGAAAAAAAGAAGGTTTAAAAATATTGGAGTTCAAAAACAGGAAGCAGACATAGACATATAGTTGGGGCAGGGGGAACATACCTTTCGTAAATTTCAGGCGAATACTAATAGTGAATGAAATCACATTTGTGATGATGCCATGAATTTATTTTTCTTCTCGGCGGGTTTAAGAATCTGAAAAGAGCACATCAAATTCTCGTCAACACTCATCATGGCACCGGCATTGTCAAATTCCCCACAATAGTTTGGTGCCGAAAAGATGGTCACAAGCTGCCTGTCAGCAAAGAATTCATACCCATCCTCCACTACCTGTGAACAAACAAAAACAAAGGTTTACTATATGTTAAAAACAGTATCATTAATCTGCTTGGATCTTGGAAGATGCAAGGGAAATATGAAGGAAAAAGTAGGGGAAATTTGGAGGGAAAGAATATGTAAAAGTGGAAAGCAAGCTCAATAAATCTACTACTTTTATCTGTTCAAATATTTATTACACAAGAAATTGACTGTCATTGGCTCATTTTTTTTAAAGTTTTGGGGCAGGAAAATGCTCGAGGACAGGTTCAAGGAATGGCGGAATCTAGAGAATGAGTGAGGGTAGCTTTCACACCCTCACTTGAAGGGCATTTTTGTCCAATCCATAGCATTCCCTGGTCCCTGTCTTAATTCCTTGTTTGCCCTCTGCCTATCATTTTTGTGGGGATCCAAACACACCATTCGAAATCGCGAAAAAGAAAAAGAAAACAGGCAAGGTTTAAGGTCAATTACTTGATGGGCCCGGCACACAAGATCCAAATCGTGCTTTGCTAAAAACTCGGACACTTTGTCCGGTCCAAAGGTGAAAGAAACTCCTCTATCATTCATCCCCCACCCCTTCACATCTTTACCCGGGTCGGACCAGAGCAAATCACAAAGCAAACCCGTGTCTGGAATAGCTGTTGGGCGTGGCAAGTTTCTGATTTGGTCCAAGTTTGATAGGTCAGGGGATAATCCTCCATGCATGCACAGTATTTTATCATCAACAAGAGCCGCCACCGGGAGACAGTTAAAACAGTCAGTAAAGGCTTTCCATAGCCTTACATTAAACCTGCGTTTACATTCGTCATAAAATCCATAAATCCTGTTGATGGAAGCGCATTCATGGTTCCCTCTCAGAAGAAAGAAATTTTCTGGGTATTTGATTTTGTAGGCAAGCAAGAGGCATATGGTTTCCAAACTCTGTTTGCCACGGTCAACATAGTCCCCTAAAAAAAGATAGTTCGCATTGGGAGGAAAGCCTCCGTATTCAAAAAGTCGTAATAGGTCACTGTACTGACCATGAATGTCACCTGAAACCATAAAAGAGATTACCAATCATACACACACTAATGAAACTAGAGAAAGAACCGGGATATCATAAGGGCATTCTTGTAAAAAAAACAAGTGATATGGATCATTAAGTCCATTATGGTCAGTTTAGATAAAAGGTCTTGGATGGCATCTAAATCTTGATATATACTCCGTATTTGAGTTTGTATGATAAAACTGAAGGAAGAACATTATAATTCATTAGAAAACATTTTAACCACCCTTTATTTGATTTTAGAAAGATTCTAGTTATGAAGATATTGACCAGTCAACTCTCCATCCAAACTGATTCTTAGCTATGCTTGGAGGACAGTTAGATAACACTAACTCAACCTTGAACTGCATTTCCCAGTTAAGGCAGTGGTAATCAAGAATATAACCTGTTGTTTAGAGCTCCGCCAAACCTTGTCCAAATCATTATTTTCAGACGAAAATCCTGAACTGCATGAGCCAAATGAACAGCTATTTTGCACAAATATGGTGGAACTTGAACCAATTTTGTCACTAAATACAATGATAAAAAGTAGGTAAAATGGAATAAAAAAGAAAATTTTGGTTTTCCTATAACAATAACGTAAAGGGTTGCACAAAAATATGTTTTTAATGTGTTCCAAAATTCAACCATTATTGTGTAAAAAATTGTGTAAAGGTTAGGAGATGGCCTTAGTCAACAATGGTCTAAGTGCTGTTTGACAAACATTGGTCCTTGCATAAATATTCTTTGAAACAACGAAAAAATTAACCTGTGCAAATACGAGTACTTGAATTTTATGAAAATCTCAAATGAGTATTTTTTAACTTGATGTGAGTAGAAAATAAGAAGCAAAAAAACATCAAGAATCTCAACCAATAATGAAGATTCAAGTACTGATACAAGATTAGAACTAAAAGGAACAACCAATAAAAATGAAAGATCAAACAAGAACATGATATTTCAATCTACTAATCTTTAGAGAAACAAAGCATATTACTTTCATTAGACATCAGGCGCAGGTCTACTTACAGAAATCATCAACATAGCTTTTTCAGTACATAGGAAATGAAACCTAGACCTAGGTGGTACAATTCACATTAAAATCTCGAAAAAGAACATTTTACCTCAAAAACTCCATGAAGAAAATACTAATAATTACAACAACAAAAAACCAAAAGCAGGTCAACCAAAGAACGCTAGCAAAAGAGGAGTAATAACAGAAGATCTAAACAACAACAAAAAAAAAGCTCAAAATCTGTTAATGGATAAAAGGGTTACCGCAGATTTTGATGGGTGCTTCGAGTTCAAGAAGATTGGGCTGTTTGATGAATATGTCTCGGGAGGCGGCACAGAGCTGCTTGATTTCTGACTCAGTGAGTTGAACCAGCTTTCCGGGCTTAGAAGATCGGACTTCCGTTAGCTTCTCTATGATTCTATCCACTACTGCAGAGTCCATTGACTCAAGAATTGCACTCGATCTCAGATTCTCTAACCTCTGCTTTTCTTCGCTATCGTCTCAGTTGTTCCCCCCCTTCTTTTAGGTCTGGGTCCGATCGATTAAAAAAAAGGTCTACCGGTCTGGATCCGCCCTTTTTTTTTTTTTTTGAAAAATAAGAGCTTGTTTTAGCCTAATAAGGAGAAAAAGAAAATAAACGAAAATTAAGAAATAAGCACCAGTGTCTTGAACTTCTCCCCTGGCTGGAGTGGTAGCAAGCCCACTCCCCAGGATTCATGGGGAAGTTCACCCAGGTTCGAGCCCCAGCGAAGGCAGCAGCATTGACTCTTTGTGCGTCATTAGTCATTAGCTTGAGAATAGTATGAACAGATACTACCTTGTAATAGAGTCAATAGCATTCAAAAAAAAAAACACCAGTGTCTTCTGTGGTTTGAAAAAATATGTACTAACGCTCTTTTTTTAACAGAAAATTGACCAGAAAATGATCAGAGTGGGTATGCATGCTACATTTTAAAATCACATGGACTTTAGAAATAAATTTTAAAAATAAAAGAGGAATTGAAGCCTATTTTTCAACCATTAGCTAGGGTACTAGTGTTATTTGACCATCTTAAAAGGTTTTTACAAGTACTACCTCTTTTTAAGAAATAAACTTTATCTAAAAATAGTCTAAAAAGTTAAAAATGTTTTATTAAAAAATATTAAAGTATTCATTTCAACAAGTCTCCTAGACTCTACTCTTGTAAGATCCTATTAGATTGTTATTTTTATTCATTTAAATGAATCGCAGGTAATGATAGGAGAATCTCATTTCTAAAACATTTTTAACACCAAAAATAGTATCATAAGCAAGGTTTTTTTTAAGTCTTTTCAATTCAAATACAAGTATAATCAGTGGCGGATCCAGAAAATGTGAAGACCGAGGGCGGAATAGGGTGGGGGTTTGGGGGCAGCACTCTCCGAATTCTCTTTTCTATGTGAAAGATAAAGTAAAATACAATAAAAAATGTTAAATTTCATCTTAATATTATGAATTACTATGCATAATTTATACAGTAACAAACTAAATAAATAATTTTAAATTTAGAAATTAAACATAACAGACTACTAAAATTAATTTTCAAATAAAAATTTAAAGTATTTCGATCCTTCTTTTTTTTTACGTAAGTGACGATTTGGAAGAATGAATGGGGGCATTTAAATTTTTTAGCGAAGGCATAAATGATATTTTAAAAAAAATTAGGGTATTTATTAAAAAAATTATAAGTCATTGGGGGCAAGTGCCCCCATTAGTCACCAAGTGCATCCGCCCATGAGTATAATATGTTCATGTATAATATGAATCACATTTTTTACACAATTTTAACTACTCCCCCCGTTTCATAAACTCTTGCTCCTTTCTTCTTTTTTCTTGTCCCACAAAATCGTTCTCATTTCTATTAAAAAATCATTTTTTGTTCCTTTTAATTCATACCCTACCTATCATATCTTTTTACTTAAAATCTACATATCACATCCTACTTTTAACCATCATATCAAGGGTACTTTTGAAATGTCAACACAAAAATTTCCCTTCCTTAATTTTCCTAAAATTCAAATTAATGGGAAAGACTTTAACGGACAAAGTAAATATATACTTTATATTTCATATGTTCAAAATACGTATATGGATACAGATGTGTTTTATATGTTTGCTTTTTCAAACGAATAAAGTTAGGGTACACTAAAATGGTATACTCCATTTGTATACCAAACAAATATAGACACTAATTAAGTATCTGTGATCATAGACATTTAGTGTCTGAGTTTGTACAAATGCAATGTACCATTTTGGTGTACCTCTAGTATGACCATTTTCAAAAACAACCATGCTAGGGTACACTAATAAATTTACCTCAAATTGTACCCAAAGAGATACACACTGGCATAAAATGGTAGTTCAAATAAAAAAATTTGTACTGACATTTTGTATCATTATAAATCTTCACGCTAGCACAAAATATCAGTGTATGCCTATGAAGTTTAAAGTAGGGTATACTTTTTGGGGTACAAATAGCTTAATTCTTTCGGGTGAATGGATTCCAATTTCAAGAAAGACATGTGTCTTATGTATACATAGAGCCAATACAAGTAGACCTGAATCCGGTTCTTGTTTTAAAACAAAATCCAAACGGGAGGTTCCAAAACTAGAATTGGAACCTTTGGGTTGTGTGTATGTGTGAAAAAGTCATAGTAGAAAAAAATTATAAAGTGTTACACTTAGACTATGAGAAAATGTCATAGTAGAAAAAAATCATGAGACCAATGAAAAACCCGAGCATAAATTTGTAGTTGAAACTTAAAATATACTCGGCTAATATCATAAGCCATGAAAATTGAATGATAAAGCTTTAACACTATGTTTGGTTCAAAAAAATTGAAAGAAAAAAGAAAAGAAATTAAGATAGAAAATAGTTTTTCTTGTTTGATTATAAAAGAAAAAAAAGATGGATAGAAAAGAAAATGAAAAGAAAAAATATAATAAAAGAATGAGACACTAAATTTCTTTTATTTTGGTCGGGAAAACGTGAGAAATTTAGTTTCTTTTTTTTTCTTCCTAATTGTAGAACCAAACAAACATAGTATAAATGGAATAGTTGGGATGGGTGTCGTGGCATAGTCTATGCACCATATTGGAATCAATGTGTTGGAAAATATTCTACAAAAGAGATTGAAGAGAATGAGTGAAATAATAAATGGAGATTAAGGACACAATTGCGACCAAAAAATAGATAATATTCCTTGTCGACGATAATGGAGAGAAGAAGATTTAGTTCGTTATGAGCTTCACCAAGTAACCTCTTACTCTCTATCCCTAATTTAACCCTTTGTTAAGATATTTAAAAATGCTAGAGATACACTAAAATGTATTACTCCAAGTATATCCCAAATCATTTTCACCATATAATTAAGTCTTGATATAAAAAAATCAATAAATGAATAAAAAAATTTATGATTAAAAACTTAGAATGAATGGTGTACAAATGGGGTAAACCATTTGGTGAATTCCTAGCATTACTCTAAGATATTGGCCATATTTGGAAAACAGCATTTCGGATAGCTTTTGGCATCTTTGACTGACAGCCAACATCCAAACAAGGCCATTAAGTCACAATAGGAAGACTAATCCCCAGTCCCCACGCCTTTAATCAATTGTCTTTGTTGTCACGTTATCATTTTTATATTTTTCTACACAAGGGCCAACACTACAAAAAAAGGAAGCAATACCGACAGGGTCAATGTGTCGCTAAAGCTTGAATATCTGTCGCTATTCGCTTTTACCGACAGATATTTGTCTGTCGCTAAAAACTCCGTCAGTAAAAGTATTACCGACAGATAAAATATACTGTCGCTAAAATAGTGTAATAGCGACAGACCAATGATGTCGCTAAAAAAGAGAAGAGTACCGACAAAACATATATGTCGCTAAAACATGGATTACCGACAAAAAATAGTGTGGGTAAATCCTTCTTTTTTGTCGGTAATAACTTGTTTTTACCAACATTAACATCTATCAAAACTGTCGCTAAAAGTTGGATTACCCACAAAAAAAAAGATTTTTTCTGTCAGTAATAGTTTATTTGACCAACATTAACATTTATTAAAACTAGTACTAATACCATGTTTCACGCCAGCATGCTCTATTTAGGTTATTTCAAAAAATTTCAGTGACAAATAAAAAATAATACTTGTATTAACAACAATATATAATATGATAACATATTAAAGGGTTACAACTAACCCATTTATTAGAAAGTAAACCAACATCTCAAAATTAGTTAATCATTTGCGTTATAAACAGAAAAGGAAATAAATTAAAATACACATTAATACGGAAGATATAGTCCAAAGCTTTAATGCTCATCATGTCTACATCTTCAAGTTCATCGCTTTCAGCTTCATCATCTTTGTTCCATCAATCTTCATCAAGACTTTTCTCAGTGGTTGTATTACCATCCATTGTAAGGTCATCAATTTCAGATTGATTAGCCGTTGAACCCTATGCAAAAAAATTTATAAGAACATGATAACGTAATTACAAATTTTGCACTAAATTTACCTTACACTCATGCTAGGTACTCATGCTAGGTGGCATAACTTTAAACTATATAATGAACTAAACAAAGAAAAAAAAATCTCATTTGTTCCAATTCTCAAACGAAGAAAATAAAAACTTAAACATAGAGCAGACCACAGATAGGGATACATACCTCTATTACTCAACAAACAAGAAGGGAAGAAGTACTGCAGGGGTCTGTCTCAAGATCATCTCAGCGAAGAAGGCAGAATCACTGCAGCTTCGAACTGAAGTCGTGGACCCCTCTTCGATGTTATATATATACATGTTACACACTTCAAATATGCTATCTTCTTTCTTCTTTCTTTCTTCTTTTTTTATACTAGAAGAGCTTGCGCAGAGGAGCTATTTATATATAGCTATACAATAATTATTATGTCCAATTCCTCTTGGAGCGGAGTGGAGTCAGCTTGTCCTCCATTGAGCTGCACACCCAAACAATTTAATCTTCTTATTTGAGTTCCTAAACCTCCTTATTATATATATATATATATATATATATATATATATATATATATATATATATATAGTTTTAATGGGAGGCATTTAATTAATAAGGCTTAGTTAAAATTCATGACTTAGAAGGAACTAACCTGCATCTATATAGTGTTCCTCTACTGTAGCAATGAGCATATTCCTCAAAAGAATGAACTCTTTCGTCTCAATCCCGGCCTCCTCGCTACCTCTGTATATTTATGTATATACACATACAACCATACCACATACACATATATAACACATACATATATAATGGCACCTATAAAATTGCGTATATGTTTTTTAATCCATGCCCAAAGTA